AATGGCAACTCGTTGAAGCTTTATCAAAAAATGAGCCCAAACAAACTTTCTTGTAACAACATAACTACTGACAGAGGCTTTGATTTTTCCTATAAAGGAGTTGGGCCAAGCTTGTAATAAAACTGATTTGGCAGAGATAACAAGAAGTTATCCCAAGAAGTCGTATCTCACAGGAGGCGGGGCTGGAAATTAATCTTCCTCTCTAGGCAGATGACCCTTCAGGCTTTAAAGTTTTCAAATGTTCAACTTATCCCAAGTATAGAGGACAAAACCCTCCACCACCTGATGTCTCTTCACGTACATAAAATGTATGTTGTGATGCACTATTTCTCATTGCTTTTGTAAAATTGGTTGAGATCTACTGATGGCAAGAGGAAGATGTCAGTGTTTTCCATCTGTGTAGAGCCACTCTAGGTACCAAAGTGTTTGAAAAATGCACTGCATTGCACTCCTGTTGTGAAAGGGGGGTTAGAAAAATGCAAAAAGACAAAGCCTCTCCTAAAATGGATGGTTCTGGTTTTGTATTTGTGTCTATTGCAAAGGAAAAGGAACTGCTATTGTTCAGCAAGTGAACATCTGCAATTTCAATCCTGCATGGCACAGACTAAGGCTGTAGGCTTCATTGCTGTGATCTTTTCCTCTTCTTTTAAATACTGCATGTAGCATAGGACTCTGTTCTTTACCCTTTGTGGGAGTTGGAGACTTTCCATGGTTTAATGTGAAAAAGAGCTGTTGCTGAAGGAGCGTACTCATCCAGTTTGCTTTGAAGATGTGGCAGCAGAGTGTGTGTTTGTCTCCTTCAAGGGTGTGTCCCACAGCTGCCGGATGCCTTCACTTTCATGGATTTCCCCTTGCAACAGTTTGTGATTACACACACCCAATTAGCGCCATCTCTGACACACACCCTGCAGGCAGCACAGACGGCTTCAAAAGAAATCACAGTGAGGCACTTGGTACCAGTCAAGGACTGCAGGACTGCTAAATTGGCTGTGCTCCGGTGCTTATGCAGAGCAGGGATTCCAGATAAAGTGGGCCATCACATACAAGTATTTTTTAGAAATGTAAATATGTCCTTAAAATAAATGTAGTTTTCTTTTGGACCACAACATCCTTACATCTCTGTGTTATTCTGTGATTTCACTGAGGGCAGAACTAAGGCTGCCTGTGTGTGTGTTTTCATAGCTTGTAAAATAACTTCATTTTATAAGTAACGTGCACTGCAGTCTTTTCATGGGATTAGTTCTATATGACTGTAATGTTTTGATGTTTAAGCTTCTAATATATTTTTGCTTCATTTAAGCAAATGTTTTGTTCTTGGTAAAGAGTCACAATACCTTGTAAGACCCAAAGTCTCTGTTACTGTGCAGTACAGCAACTTGTAAGTACACCCTCGTTATTGGCATAATTTCAAAGTTTTAGTGAAGCATATTTTTCTGTTATTTGAACAGTCCACTCAGGTTAGAGTGGAGATAAGCTTCTGGTACATGCAGTTTGTGTCACCAAATCTGTTTATCAGATTCTAAGGACGAATGATGAGAAAGCAGAATCTGGGGCAGCAGAGAAGAATTTTTGAAATGTGTCACTGTAGAGGGTAAAAAGTTAAAAGCTATGGGCATACCCATTTTTGAGAGGGGAAGTGATTAAATTTAGCTAGTGTATCATCCTTTAATAACCCTTTAACACAACTGTAACAATAGTAACTGTGAGAAATGTAATTAAGTGCGAGAAGTAAACATGTTTTAATAAGAATACAGACCCAAAGTCAAAGCTTGCCCATGGGCCATTGGCAAGTCCCCCTCCTAGGCAGCCCTCAGAGGACAGGCATCTTTTTTTCCATGTCCTTTCCCAGAACTGCTCTTTGACTTTCGCAGCATCTATCAAACAAAGCAGATACCTGCTCATGTTGATTTCAGAAGCAATTTAAAAGGACCACTCTCCATCATCTGTCAATCCATCTAACTGCCATTAATATTAATGCTTTAAACTAGCATTAGGTTGTGGATATAGGTTTCTTTACTCTAATTTTTGATTTAACATTAGTTAATTAATTCAATTAACCTTACAAATAATTAGCAATTGTAATTCTTTAATAAAACTGCTGCAATCTAATGATTACTCCTCAGCCAAGCCTAGGGCTTGAGTCCAGCAGCTGTCACCAGGGTTAAACATTTCAGGAAAATAAAAATTACACAAACAATTAGGTATGTAATGAATCACCAGATGGTTTGTGTTGCACATGGCATGCTACCTCCCTTAGTGGACACCCCTGCTGAACTCTAGCAAATAGTGCTGATCCCAGCCAAACTCAGATGTTTCACTCTGGAGCCTGGATGTCCACGGCCATTGCAATGCCAAGGGTTAATGGCACAGTGTTGTTCACATGTATATATAGGGGACTAACCTCTCTGCACTCTCAAAGAGCATGGCTGCCCTCCTGCAGAGGGGGACTGGAAACAGTGCCTTCACTTCCCTAATCCCCCAGACCATGCCTAGGCTTTGTCAGGGTGAGTGCTAGCTTTGCCACGAACACCTTAACAGTTAAAAAGACTGGGTGATTGATGGTGAGCCAGGAGCTGTCCTGATCTGGTGCATTGAGTCTGTGCAAGAGGTGGCATCCCTCTCTTAGTAATGGTAAAAAAATGTATTTATGCTCTAAAAAGCAGAGGAAGTACCTCAGGTTTAGGGTCTTAAAATTTCTAAGGCAGGAAGTCTGTGAAAATGTAGCCAACCTGACACTGGCAAGCATCCCTAAACACCATGGACATCAATAATAGCTAAATCTGAGTGGAGAGCAGTAAAATGTGACTGATAAAGGAGGCTGGCGTAGAAATAAAAATAGAGCAAAATGGTATCTCAATAATGAACTTTTATCTATGGAAATTAATACAGTCTTTATTTGTGATAATAATTTGCTGCAGTAGCAAAGAAGCATGTACTTCACTGTAAAATGAGACATGAACCTCCTAAATTGCAAGGGGCATATGGTGTTTGCTGCATATATGGCATATGCAGTGGCTGCTGCCAGGAAAACCTAAAGAGAGGTTGTGGCCAAGGGAAACAGTGTGCAGTTATTTAGTGTGGCATATAAAAAGGTGACCCTTTGTGCTTATACAAGGCATTTTATCAGGTTACAACATCAAACCATGCCAAGGATGTTGTGCTGATCTGTTGCTGATCTGTTGTGCTGATACCTGTCAGCTGTGGTATGCATACACCAACATCTGTTAGTGGAAAAGATGTAAAGGGACCTACCACAGGACAAAAGTGAAATAAAATTACATTGTCCCTAGAAAGTGAAGTTATTTCAAATGAAAACAACTGGTCTGTAAATATGTGCATGTTATATATTTGATCCAAAGCAATTCTGTTTATTCACAGCACATATATATCAGTAAAAACAGGACAGGTAACCTTTTAGCACTTATGTTACTCATCTGTCTACATGAATTTTTAGGTAATTTAATGTTGGGGGTCCACTGAGAGTAAAATTGTTAAAAGCTCCTGGAAATGTCAAGCAGAACTGTCAGGTTTAACCAAATGAATAGTCACTGAACTAAGCAGTAACTTTAGCAAGGGGAAATTCTCCTCTTTAAGGGCTACTGTTGGATATGCAGGCACAGGTTTGTCTGTGTTTGAGGGACCACTAATCCTCTTTCCTAGTTTTGAATAAAGGGTTCCTAATGACTCTGGAGCATTGCATGGGCATTAGGGCTCCTGACTACTTTGACTGAGGTACTTGCATCTTTTCCAAGCTGTTACCTCTTCAGCTGTGGACAAAGTTTCTGGGAAATTAGGCCTATATCTATCCTTCTCCTAGGGACAATTAAAATTAAGGTCCACAGGAAGAGCATTTAACATGAAGAGTTCATTTTTCACTTCAGCCCTTGGTCTTTCTGGAGGATTTGTGCCTCTCGCAAATGTTGTCTTGTTCTTTCAGGAATGGAAAAGTCCCTGAACATGAGTGGAGCAGGAGCCTTGCCCACTGACACCCAAAGTTCAGACATAGAGCACCCTCAGTGGAAAGCAGATGAACTGAGGGCATGATTTTCAAACTATGTCTCCCCTGTACCTTGCCTTAAAATGATTTCTGCTTGGAGCAGTAGATAGTCAGCATTTCTGAATTTGCCTTGCTGCATCTGCAGAAGCGTCTAAGCATTTTGCATATGTAGAAACCGCTGACTGCAAATCTGCCGGTTATATTTTAGGTCTGTGCCAAATGGGCACATGTTCTGGATGAGCTAACTTGAAATATAGTGGTGACATACACAGTAGCAGTTTCACATAGGGCCATGTTAGCAGCTTTGCTCCCTGTCGTGTTTCGTGGTGATTCCATAGAAGAATGCAATGGAAGAAGAGGGTGGGTGGTACTACTAAGTGCCCGGGGGATTTCCTGGCATGAAACTGCTCAGTTATGCTGCAGCACCCCTGCTCCTTTGGAGTCTCTTAAAGTCTGTCACTTAGCAATGGCGCTGATGAGAAAAAAGGCATATTATTCGGGGGCCTTCGTGGCAGGGAGAGTCTGGAAGTAACCTGGAAAGAAGGCATCATCCTTGCATGGTGGGGCATGTACTTATTACATACAGAAGTCATACACTTAATACCACTAGTATCATCATTGGTAGAATTACTAAATTATTACTTTCTAGAGAATGAAGGAGTTTTTATTTTATGTTGACACAAAATCGTTGCAAAAATGGAGTTTTCCTGCTCCTGCTATGTTTTCTGTCCTCTCTACCTGATGTTTTTTGCATCTCCTCACCTTCCTGCTTCTGTGTGGTTCCCTGGTACTTTTGAGACTTCTCTGCATCAGAGTAGCACATCAAAAAAGAGGAATGAGTGCTTGGGATGTAACACCAGGGATGCTTTTAACTTTCTTGCCATTTAGCACAAGTTGCTGTAGCATTGAAGGCCATGTGACTGGAAAGTAAACAGCTCCAAACCTCAGGTAGATATCTGCCAAAGCACTCCTTGATTATTGGTTTTGGGGCTTTGTTCTGCAGGTCCTGTGTGACAGATATGTGCGAGTGTCCGGTCCATAAAAACTGCTACTGTGAGTCGTTCCTGGCATATGCCCGAGCCTGTCAGAGGGAAGGTCTGAAAGTCCAGTGGGTGCCAGAGCAGAACTGTGCAGGTAAGCATTTTGAGACTGCCTGTTTGTAAGCCAGTGTGCAGGCTAACTATCCTTTTACTGATGGAGGGAGATCAAAAATGAACCATCTAGAAAGGACTGGTGTTGCACCAGTTTGGAAGTTCTTGGAAGTTTTCCTTTCAGGATATGTAAACCCTTGATTACAGATAATGTTTGAACTCCTGTGACCTCCTGTCAAAACACAGTTATATTTCCAGAGACAACATGCATATATGATTGCAGGAGGTTCAACAAGGGAAGAAGAGAGAGTGTATTTAATGAGAATATAAAAACACAAACCTATGATAATTTCCTAATAATTAGTTTCCTAATCCCCCTGTGTTTAGGACTGCATTAATTGCAAGTGATTGTGAGTAATTATTTCTGTGAGAAGCACTGGCCTGTGATAATGGGCACTTGAAGTAAAATGCAATATTGCAGATGAACATTTCTCCTGATTATGGTCTCATTAATTTAGGACATTCTGTAATGGCATCGGTTTGCCTGGAAATGTATTCAGATTTATGTAAAGCAATTAACAGTAGTTGGGAAACAAAAACCACTGAGAAGAGGATGCTCGGTGATGGTCAAACAGCTATTACTCTGTGGTCCATTTTGGTGATTGTGAGTGGCTCAGGGTCTACTCTCTTAACTTCAATTTCCTTTTCTGTTGAAGGCATTTTATCAGGGATGGGTGAGTGGCAGAGCAAATTAAATTTGATTGACTGTTCCCAAAAGGCTAATTTTTTTTCATACAAAGGAACAGAACAATCCAAACAGGGTGTCACTTAGTGAGAACCCTATTCAAGAATGTTGTCTCAGGTAGCACTAATGACATATCATTTTAATCTGTTGATCTGGTAGCACATCCATGCCGAACATGAAACGAGCATTGTGACTTTTTTTTTTTCCCAAAGCACTTCAGACTGAGACTTCACTGTTGCAGATGCTGTAAAAAGAATAAAAACTCCAGTCCCCACCCTAAGGAGTTTATACAAGTGTTGACATATCACGACTTAACTAATTGAGGCTTCATTTCACAATTTTTTCTGGCATCTTACCAAAGACAAGAAAAGTTTCTGAGGCAAAAACAGTCTTTGAGAGAACATTATAGCTAATGAAAGAAGTGTTTAAATCCACACGAGTTTTTTAATTTCAGTGCAGAGTTGCAGAAAAAAATGGGAAATCTTGTTAAGCAGAAAATATAGATAATCTGTGTATGGCCAAGTTCCCTCAAAACACTTACTTAAGTATTCAATGCCAAACAAATAGCACCATCTTCTATGTTAAATCATATGGTAAACATTAAATTAAAGTGCATCCACTGCACTCTATACGGCACCACTGACCAGCATCAAGATTTAAATCTTTAGCTTATTTTTTTCTCTCCAAAACTAGTAGTTATAATTATTGTGTCCCAATTACAGGTAAAAGTTCCTAGGTAAGAAATAATATATGTGTAATAAAACTTTAGCGTTCTGTGAAATTTCATTTCCTACTTGACATTTCATAGCTGGTGGGATACTTGCAAGAGTTGTGTTCTCATGAAAATTATGTATACTTATTACTGAAGTCAGGTTTAATTATACTTTTGTGTGTTTTAAAACCAGATCTTGTGTGGTTGCCAGTTTCTCTACCTTGCCTGCTGTACTCTTAGCTTATTTTTGTAATCTTCAGAAAACTTGTGTTTTCTGGAGGACCAGCCAAACAGGATGCTCAGGAGGCTGAATTACATGTCCTGTTCCCTGCTCTTCTCTCTCTCCCCCTCTACATTCTTACACAAAATACTGCTGCTCAAGGTTTGCTGTCCTATGAGGTTGGCTTGATAAGGGAAATATCAGCTCTCATTTAACTGGAGGAGTGAAGATAGAAGCTAATGAGTAAGCAAAATGGCTAGGGTAGGAAAGAGTTGGTGAGATCCACATGGTAACTGAGAGGGTTAGGAAAAGGATATGGGTTTCCATAGGATGTAGAGGGGAGGGAGACCTCTTGGGATGGGTACTCTCAATGGAAGAAGAAAAATCAGATAAGGTCTATAATGTAGTGCAGACTACACGAGGTAGCACTGATGTGCTTACGTGCTGCGACAGCCAGTCAGTGCCCAGATCTATTGCCTTTTACTGTGTTAGAAGGAGATGTGAATTCCAAGCACTGTGAGTGACATTCTGTTTGAAAGTCCTGCCAAACACTTGTAAAGTCCAAACTGTGTAACACCAACAGAAGAAGCAGGAAGAATCATTGATGCTCAAATATTAGTTCAGAACTTTACATAGAATTAGATTTACTGGATATCATCCACTAAGGGAATCCTTCAGCAGTTATATGTTACATATTTTGGCTTTTGTGTTGGGGAATAAGAATTCTTCCTATATAATTACGGCCATGTCTATAAAGGCAGGCGCAGACAGATACAAGCCTCCTCTATGAAACTGCCAAAGTGGCTGGAATAAACCAGGTCTAGTCTGAAAAGTATAGCCTTATTAGGCAGGGTTTATAAGCTCAGGCACAGTGCTGTATTTGTGTGACTGTACGGCTTCTGGACTGGAGCTGGCTATTTTCCCACCAGCTTAGAAAGTGGTCTGAGGAAGCTCACATCTGTCATGCCAAACACATGTTCTAGAAGAAGAGTGGAAAAATCCTGTTGGGACTGGTTGCAAAATACAGTATTATTAGTAGCTTTTGTACTTTGGGGTTAGGTTTTTGATTTTTTTTTTGCTGGTGTACTAAGGAAGTTATTAGTAACAGAGCTCGGTTCTCTGAGAGAGGAATTTGCCTCAAAAGACGGGTGCAAAGGCATCACTTCTGTTTTCCATGTTTACATGGTACTGAATCATTTCAGCAGTCCCTGGGAAGCCTACTGCAGAATGTCTTTATTTTTATTTTTTAAACTGTTGATGAAGTGGAATGTTCTGGATCAATCACAACACATGTTAACAACTGAATCACTCGACAATAAAAGCCATCCCAGGAACTTAAACAGCAGCCATTGTATTTTTCTGATTTTTCCCTTGACAGCACGTTAGTAATGCCATTATAGGCTGCCTACAGCAGAAAATCAGGTCATCATATCTTCTACATGGCATCATCTGAAGGAAAAGGAGGTGTTTTGATATACCACATCCATGTGTGGCAGAGCAGAGCTGGGGAGTACTTACAGATGCCGTGGCTGCTGAGGGAAGGTTGTAATATGTTCTCATTTGCTCTGGGGCAGAGAGGAGGAAGTGTAAAGGAGACCTTGACCAACTTTCCTCAAACCCACCAGCAGAGGAACCAAAGAGAGGTCAGGGGGAATGATGGGCCAGCTATTACTGCATTTTTGGAGGATGAAACTGTGTAGCCTTAAAACTGAAGCTCGTAGACCTTTTTGTATGGAAACTGCATGTACTGGAATATAATATCTGGTTTTGATTGGTCCGTTAGAGATCCTTTGAAGGGAAGCTCATTTTCAGAGAGAAAGTAGAAAAGCTTCTAGTAAACAGCCCCCTTAAGATAATAGAGATTCAATGTCTATTCTTAATGCGCTACATAAGCATAGAGTCTCTTGTGAATCTGACATCTTATTCTATGCTCAATATTTCTTGCATGTTTTTACCTTCTAAATTTCCTGTTTCATTTAGATTTCCTTTTAGTTATTCCTTTTGTTTGTTCCTTCTTTCATGTGCATGAAAGTTTTCATGAAGAGCAAGATAGAAATGTAAAGCTGGAAAAAAGTTCTCAAAAGATCTATGTCCACAAGCTGAATAAGCCTATCTTAAACGTTGCTGAAAGATGTTTATTTCTAACCTATTCTAAAGCAATGTTCAATTAAAGGCATCTCACAGAGTTTTTAAAAGACAGGTTGCTCTGGTGGTTAAAGGTGGAAAGCTATTTTTTTTTACCTGATATCTAATATCTAGCCAATATTTAGCTTCTGATTCTCTGTAACTCCAGGGTAATTTTTTTTCTCTATATACTATGCATTTTTTTCAACTTTGTGTCCTAAGAACTGTGTATGCATTCTTGGTTTAATTCCTTCTTCAGGGCTGCTTTTCAGATATGCATGAATTCCATAAAATGCACAAGAAGTAAAACTTGCAAGAAGCTGATGCTTTGTTATTAGTGAAAAGGGACCCCTTAAATTTATGATGCCTTAGCAATAAAACTTCCATCCTCTTTGATACACTCTTATACATATTTAATAAATTTACTTCTATTTTCTCTTTATGAATAATAGCAGTATTATAATGACACTGTAGGCCAATCCTCAAAACAAAACAGCCTTTTCTGTCCATAAAAGAACTGTTCTTTAGAAAACCTTGACATTCATACTCTCTCAAAGTTGAAGAAACCTTCATAATGCAATCACTTCTCTGAAAATAGCAAGAGATGAATCTGGATCCTTGAGAGTCCCTTGTCATCTATAAGCTATTTTATCAGTACTTGTTTTTGCCATCAGCACAGCCGTTAAAAAGAATAACAGACTTTTATTTGCTATTGAACCATGTATTATTCTATGTACTAAAAAGGCAGGATATAAAATGTTGAGAGTGTAAATATTGATCTGGAGGGGTTATAGTGCTTTTAGCTGAGCCTTCAGTGGTCTTTTATGTTGAAGATGCATTGAACTGTCAGCTACATAAATTAATGAATAGCTACTGGAATCATTAAGCACAAAAATCCTCATTCTCAGTGATCCCTTAGTAAAGTAGCCCAAAGCATAATTGATTTTTAATTTTTGTTTGTTTGTTCTGCTTTGTTTTTTTTTTTTTGTTTAGAAATGATACTGCTGGGTTAACGGCACTGATCTGGTTTGCTGCAATATGCAATACAAAAATTACAATCTTAGGGTCAGAAAGTCTAACTTGGTGAATTACTCTCCTTCTTTCAGTAGGAGTGAAATTGATAATAAATGTCCTTGTAAATGTTTCAGAACATTTTATAAAAGGCATTGTAATAAATAAAAAAGCAATGTTATTTCTTTAATATAAAGCATAGGTCTGCCAAAGATTTATATACTGTCAGCTGAGTTAAAATTCTCAAAAAATTCAAGACTGCTGTGGACTTTTTGGCTTTTTGACTAAGAATTTTGCTACTTTTGTATTTGGGATGTAATATGATGAAATCTTTTTACAAATAATTTTTGCCTCTACATAATTGCCATACCAAAACGTGCTTTTTTGATATTTGCAGTAGAAACTGAGCAAACAGATAAGGAACTTTCTGTGTGGGGCTCTGTGTAATATGCATATTTTGTTCCTTTTAACTGCCTTTCAGCTACCCAGTGTAAACACGGTGCGGTTTATGATACCTGTGGTCCAGGATGTGTCAAAACCTGTGACAACTGGAATGAGATTGGACCATGCAACAAGCCCTGCGTGGCAGGGTGCCACTGTCCGGCAAATTTAGTTCTTCACAAAGGAAGATGCATCAAGCCAGTCCTGTGCCCACAGCGATGACATTAGTTCTCTTTCCGTGGACACTGATGCGGGTGCTCACTGACCCCTTTGATGCTCACAGCCAGTGAAGGACTCCAACTGTTTGTGTGCAGATTCTGCAAAGTACATGTCTACTCACAGAGTGTAAATATGTTCCTGTGTGTATATTTATGTGTCTTTATGTATACACACATGGCACCTAGAAAGATATATAAATGTATACTGTGTGTATGGAGATACACATGTCCATACACAAGTGCCCTAAACGTAAGTATGATCCATATATTTATATATATGTCCATACACAAATATACATAATTTCTATACATCATAGAAGGATGAATTATAATATGTATATTTTTTGCTATAAAGTTTATGTATTATTATTTCTAGGACCCTAATCTTTAAGTCATTGTATAAATAAACCAGGTGTTTTTAATATAATATAGTGGCATGAAAAGATTGGATGACTTTACCTTTGCATAAGTTTGTCATTTCCAAGGAAACTTTTCTAGGGCCATAGCACTGCCAAACTGGATTAGTTTCAACACAGAACCTGGATTTACAGTTGTACAGGAAACACATTTCTCTGGAGATGGAGGATTTATCTATGAATATTTCATGCGTACCTTAGAGCTGCATAGTGATTGGTGACAGTGCTTAATCAGGCAGAGAAAGCTAGGGATTGGCTTTTATGCTTTACTGAAATAACTGTGCAAAATGATTTCCAAAGCTGGTTGGACAACTGCCAGTATGGAGACATTTCTTTCTGGAACAACACCAAAGAGTCAGGGGCCAGATTTTCAAAAGTGTTCGGCACCCACCAGCTCGCTTTGAAAATCTGACCACTTCCCATTTCATATCCTAATACCCCGTCTCTGTTGTTGTGTTTGGCAGTTGCTGTGAATACACAATAAGGAGCTTGAAGAAAATATTCATGTACACATTAGCCCCTTTAACATGTTTGAAACTGCTACGTTTGTTTCATATTTCCTCCAAATATTATGCAGAAAGAAAATCCCACAGTGAAGTGTTTGATTTCAGTGTGCCTTAAAACATTAAATAATGCCACGTTTCGTAACTCATTTAATTTATCAGCATGGTTTAGAAGAAAGACAAATTCACCACACCAAAAAACAGTAAAGAATGTCAAATGCTAATTGGAGAACTGCAATTTATTTCCTTAGTGGTCTTTCGGTTGAAGTTTCTGAGCATGTGGGCTCTGTGAAGTTTACGTGACTTTTTAAGTCTCCCAGGGGAGAAGCAATAATATGGGATTTCATTAGAAACTGTTAAAAAAGCCATTCAACTTTCTCAAGCCTGAAGGGACTTTTTCTTCCTCTGGAAAGCCTCTTGTAGAGCCTGATGGAATGGTCTCTGGAGATGATAGGAACCTTTGGGCATCTGATTTAGGTTTATAATGAAGTAATATCCTCCCTCACAGCTACTTCCATCATGCCTTGCATTGAAATTGCACATTGTAATGCTTTGAACAACTTTCTCCTTTAATCCTTCACTTTCCAGGAAGTTAAGCAGGGTCTGAGTTTACAGTGAGTGAGTGGGTGGGTGCAACACACTTGCGTTATACAACCTGTCTGTTATCTTATCCTGGAGGAAGATGCTGAGGGAACATGGTTAACTTAGGCACCTAAATGCTATACCACCACAGTGTTAAAAAGAGCTGGGCATATAATGCCAAGAGTGCTCCATGGATGTTCATCCAAATCTTAAATAAACTCATCTTGATCTTTTTATGTCCCCTTTGTGTTCGTTTTCTGGGAACAATCAAATAATTTAGTTTTACTGGAAGAGGGGGTTTTGAAGACACAGACATGAGTGCACTGGGAAGCAGAATTGCAAATGTGCAGATCCCGTCTGAGCAAGAAACTAGAAGAGTTTTATGTGGCTCATGTGATAACTGAATGGCAGAGTTGAAATTTAGAACAACTGCAGTTGGTTGAAGGAATTAAAATATAAAATGAAGGTCATTAAAATAATTTAAAGCATTGGTTAGACCAAAGAACATTTCAGCTTTTGATTCTGAGATATGAGATCCAAACCATTAAAAAGAATATTTGCCTAGCTTTAGTTTAGAACAGATTTTCATTACTTACTGCCTAGTGTCTCCAAAATAAAAGTACAGACAAAGTGAATTGCATTGATGAGCAGTGTGTAGATCTGCCCTTCTCTTTTCTCCTGACTGATGAAGGTGAGTAAAAGGTGAAAGGAGAGCCCTCCATCTCTCTCAGTCCATTGATCACATTCAAACAATGCTTAATTGATGCCAGGTTTGACTGAGGTGAAGAAGTGACTCAGCCTATCTGTAGGACGAACTCTATTTTTAAATGTTTAAATGGTTAAGTTTGAAACCTGACCTATAGGTCATCTCAAAATGAGGACTCATTCCTCAGTTTAGCTTTTTCATATCTGACTAATTAAGAGTAGGCACTCTGCTTTACTGATATAGACTGAGGAAGAGAGGAAACTGGTTTTACCTCTAAGCTGACTGATCGTGCCCTTATGGTGATGTAGAGCTTTTTCTTCCAATCTCCACAGTTTTCAAGGCAACAGTAAGTGCTATCATCTGTATGCTCAGTTCACAGGTACCATCTCTAAGATAAAGGACTTCTGCTGTTTTAAAACTTGCCCCCAAGCTTCAACTTCGCAGAGGTTTTACATCTGTGTCTTTAGTTACCCTGCGCCTAAACTGAACTATTGAGACCAGGTCAGTGCAGATGGGGTTGTCTCACTCCACTCTTATATTTGCCTCTCTCCCTCAAGGCTATTCAAAAGTTGAAGTTCTAGCCCAATACCATCAATAGCAGCATTAACATTAGCCTCATAGAGTTTGGATTGCAGTCCATCTTCCTCCTGCTGTCTTTGCTCATGAAATGCTATCCCTTGGATGATAGAGCTGGAAGTTTCCTGTATATCACTGGGGATTTATTTTTGACAAAATTTACTGGTAATCCAATTTTAGCAAGCTAAACGTGTTTAGTATGCAGTAATGTTTTTTAATAATAGCATAAAGTTGGTAATCCATATGGCATATTCACCATGGAAAACTGATGGTTGTGTAAGTTTTGATCTTGATAATGCTTATATCAATCTGTGCATATAACTTTGTGCTAGTTTGTAAGGTGAAATGTATTGAAGGAGCAGAGGTTCCAATCAAAGAATGATCCAAAAGGAAAGTCTGAGAAACACCTCTGTAATCTAGTGGATAGAATGAAGGAAAGACTTGGATCAATAGTGTCATCATTAAACTGCTACGTGTTCCCTGGCCAGTCATTAATGTTCTGTACTTCATTGGGAAAATGAGACTCTGGATTTATGCAACTTTTTTAAGTTTATGGAGGGAAAATGTTCACAAATGCCATACGTCACGAGGGGAATGTCAGCTGGTATTTTACCAATCTACTCAGGTCTGTTTTGCTTCAGGTTGTCCCATCTCTCCCATATCACCATCACTTGAAAGTCAGCTTTTAGTTGCATATGTGGAGGTCAAATCTATTTACTTCTTCTCATGTACTTTCAATTGTGTCTATTTTTGCCATATATATTGAATTTTGTAGAGCATGGAGACAAGCATGGAGACAGAGCAATTTGAGTTGTAGACCAAGACCCTGTAGGGTAGTCCCACATCTTCCAAGAACACTTTCTTCTATAAAGTATGCACTTGGACAAAAAATAAAGGAAGGAAAGAAAACATTCCTAATGTCCAACCAACCCAAATGTGAACCCATCCTTGCATCACATAAGGAGGTTCCAGCAAATAACCTAAAAGAAGTAAGTTTGTCTCATATTTTCTGCTTTTTTTGAACACAGGATTCAAATGCAGTTTGACACTGCCCAACTTCCTACTGACAGAACCTGACAGTTGCAATAGTTGAACTGATCTTGAGTGACTGTATAAGGGTACCGTGGTTTGCGCTTTTTTGCCTTCAACAAAACTGGACAAGGTTAAACCAGAGCTAACAGATATGAGAGTAACAAAATGCCTGTCCAGCATTTTCAGCTGAACAGGCTGGAAAGAGAGTCAGTCAACAGCATTTAGCACTGAAGTGCTGAGGTACTGAACCATTTCAGGAACAGTCCCAATTTAGGGGGCATTACCCAGGGTCTGACTATTTGATAAACAGGAACTTTACCTTACATAGCACTGATCAAATGCTTGTTCTGCTCTCCGTGATTTTAGCATTCTTAGAAAGCCCTGTGGCAAGGGAGGTGTATCTGCTCCCTTTCAGGAACATTTCTAGTCTACAACTGCAAATGTTTCAGGACACAGGCCTAGCTGTGTCTAAGAAAGTGTAAAAGTTGTTGCACAGATTAGTATTTCTACACAAAATAACTGTGACACCTGAGCACCAGAGTCTCTAACAACAAAATAAGGTTCTCCTCCTGTGAACACGAGGTAGCTCTTAATCCCTCACACGGCCTTGGCACTGGGTTTGAATTAAGATGGTACAGTAATGTGAGGAAATAAAGAGGCAGGGTGGCAGAATAAGGGTGGCAGGGTGAGAGAAAAATAAGAATGAAGAAAGTAGTCATAGGACTTTTTTCTGTATGTGGATATTTTCCCTCTAAATGGTAAGAACTAAACTGAAAGTGTTCTTTGACAAAGGCAAAGAACTAAGACTCCCTGAGCACAGAAACTCCCAGCAACCACCCAAAAACCCAATCCAGTGACAGTGGAATCATATGTTGAGATCTGAATAGAATAGGTGTATATTGTTAAGTATAGAAATCCATAATTAAATTTAGGAGAGTCTATTCCTACTTCTCTCAAAACTGTTATATCACATTTGAAGAAGACACCAAAGTTAAGGAAAGGGATTTTATTTCCATGCTGAGATGAGGAATTTGTTTCTTCTGAGTCCACTAGCACAACAAACCTGCTTTGGTTTCCTCCAGGATGTATGTTTTAGTGAACACACATCATCACAATTATCACAATAAAGGCTACAAAAGCACTTTTATAACTAGTCTTGTTCCAGGCTTTGGGGTAAAATTGCAAGTTCTGCTTACTACTAAGAGGGCACAAGTTGTCTTTTTGACAACACCAGTTTTACCAGGTAGTGAGATTACTCAACATCAAGCAGCATTTCAGAAACTTCAGGCAATGTTGCACATGACATGTGGCATTTTCTATTGGCATGACTTTCCCCTTTTCATTGCGAGTTATGATGTAATGCTAGCCCTGCAACAGGAGGAAGTTGGCTCTAATGGAGTGTGTATGTGTGGTGGGAGACAGGTGGCAATATATAATTGCCATTATCATTGTTAGTGTTTTCTATTTCCCTAAGTGATACTTATAGCTGGGTATCAATATAGCTTGGCTTGGCATGTGAAAGTGAATTGATGGGAATGTAGAAAATTCCTGCCCCTGCGTTTTATGTTTTTTTTCTTATCCAGTGGTGAAGAAACACTTCAAAGCACGCTTCAAAGAGCACTGTGTAAGCCTCACAATGGACAGCTATGCAACAACCTGTTCATAGCGGTAATTTAGCCTTATGCTCTGGCGGTAAGTGGTTGGTACTTTAATGACCCAATCGTTCAAAGCACTTAACTGTGCTCAAACTTTGAATAACCTCCTCTGCTTCCATGGGGCAATGTGCATGCTGACTTCTAACCACATGTTCAAACGGTTTGCAGGATCAGGGCCAGAGAGTTCAGCATCTGGCAGGATCAAATATTAAACATTGTGATATTTTTTTTTTCTTCATGATTTCTATGCATAGATCTATTTTATGATCGTGCTGCTATCTGCTGCCAGAACACTGTACAAGTTAAGGCTTTTGAAGGCGTTTTTTTTGGAGACATTAGAAGACTATCGGTTTCTGATGTCAGCATAATAATTTCTTACATCACATTGCAATTTCCTACTCTATCTTATTTCTTGTTATTGTTAAAACAAAAGTTCATACTGGACTTCATTTTTTAATTTTTTTTTTTGCACTGGTAAAAATAGGGAGCAGTTTCAATGAGTTAACTGTTGCTATCTATACTAGTTTTAAATTGCTTTGAAGTCATATTAGCACCATCATGACTGTATAATTGTGAAAGTGTTCCATAATCCCAGTGTGGCTGCCCTCAATTGTTAGAATAATTGCTTCTAGCTATAGTTCACTATAAAACTCTGATAATACTGTTTTAGGGTAAAAACATCTGCAGTCAGTATAAGTCAGTCAGTATAAATAATTTGTTACAAGAGATCACAGTTTATAAATGAAGGGGGGAAAGCTGATTTGTTGTACTTAGCTTATTTTAACAATAATTTTTATAAATGGTATCAGTAAGGAAAACGGAATTGTGACTATAGAAACTGATGAAGAAAAGAGAACTTAGACACTTTTTTTTTAATATTTAGTGCAAGTATTCAACTTAACAAGAATCACTGAGTGGCTTTCAAAACCCATAAAAAAAACTTGATTGGGTTCTACAGAATATGAATCAAAACACAGAAGTGGATATGTTTTGATGCAGTTTTACAGTTAAAATTTCAGTGTGTCTTGAAAGAAGTAAAAAAATGAGTAGAGTTTGAAGGAAATTATTTATTCCATCTTAGTCATCTGAATGATTGTTTACTAGCTTGGGTGTAAATATGCAGGTGTTTGAACCCCACCATATTGAATATTCAGCCCTGTCTTTCTTCATATTGGTGTGCATCAGGAATAACCCTAGAGAAGCCCATGAAATAATATCTATGTCAAAAGACACAGGGCTTTTGTTTGGTTTTTTTGGTTTGTTGGGT